ACGTTGTATACCGGCTGTGTATAAAAAAAATATATACATAAATATAAAAGTTGCTGAGTAGTTTGAGTAGTTTGCGAATGTAAAAGTTACGCTAGTGTCCGTCTACCCTAACTTGTTTACCAACAGTTTTAGAAAGTTTGTTATCATTCATTGAGTCCACTCAGCTCTTATGAGTACCTGGCATGAGACAGGTAATATTCCTCTCTGAACTTTCCCTACTTCAATTTATATGGTAGTTACAGAACTCTGCTTCATCTGCCCTATCCATCAATTATGAGATTTGACTTGATGTATTCCATAGACAGAAAGCGTTGTTGTAATTTTAAAACAAGTTTCGAGCCTACAACCCTCCCCTCCCCCCTAAAAAACTGCTTGTGAAGCATGAACGTAATCGTCGAGCATATCTCCTCCCACCTGCCCACACCTGACCTGTACCACGTGACACACGCCATCCCTCCATTGCCAGACGCTACATTAGCGTTAGATTTCAACAGTTCTCGCCGACTACATTATGTGTCCATTACTTGAATTGAATTCTGTTATCACGGTCTAAAAATACATGGTGTTTATTATATGTCCATTGGTGGAAGTTTGTTATCACATTCTAAAAATATGTGGTGTTTGATCCAGTGGAGGACTAGATTAACCCCTACACCACCACCACCACCACCCACATAAACAAGCATGTTATTTGACCTCTCGCCCTCATGGGCTCCATGTGTGTGACGTCATTCGTGCCACTGACGTCATTCTTTTGCATTACTTTTATCTACTTTGAAATAAACAAGGAAGTTATTTTTTTCACTGCCTTGGGTTTTTAACTTTTTTTTTCTAAACAGTTTATATATAGATCTAGGCGTTTTATTGTTGATGAAGACTTTGGTAGATTTAATACGACATGTTTCGTTCGGAGGATTAACGTCTTTCACATGTTATATTTTCCTGTGGTTTTGACACATTTTATTTTTCGGTGTTTTCACACATTTTATTTTCCTGTGGTTTTCATGTATTGAATTATACTGTGGTTTTAATTGTGGTTTTCACATATTTGATTTTTTTCTGTGGTTTTCAAGTACTGGATTGTACCGTGGTTTTAACTGTGGTTTTCACATATTTGATTTTTCCTGTGGTATTCTACTCACCCGCTGCCACCACCAATCTGCACGTGCGTCCTAGTTTTACAAGTACCCCTTCCGTCACGTGGCATGACGTCACAGCACCAACCGTCTAGATATCATGAACATACTTCTTCAAGTAAGTCGCTATACGAAACTTGAACTTTGATATAGCACTTCTTGGGTGTACGCGTAAAAAAAAAGCCAATCGAAAGCAATGATTCATAGACATGTGACTGTAGGGGTCGACAGGCATGGGTTGGTTAGTTTTTATAGCGAATTGTTGTCATTCGGCGAATTTGTTGACTAGATGTAAATTAAACATTTAATCAAGACAAGGCGAGTAGAATGAGTTCAATAACGTGGACTAATTAATTAATTAAGTCTAATTGTGTTTCTCTAGCCAGCCGTGCTGCGTCTCTTTGCTTCACTCGTGTCAACCGTTGACGGTCACTGCTGTGTGGGTTCTGGTGTAGCAGACGGCAATTAAGTCATCACGTGATACTTACTCGCCATTAGTTGGCCTGCTGTGTTTAGTATAGACCTTATGTGCTGGTAACTGTGTTTTTTTTTTTCTACTTGAAATAGAAAGTTCCAGAATCGTGTGTGCCGTTTAATAGACAATTTCGGGAGTTACCGTAGCTAAAAATAGAATATTGGTTATGGTTTTTCCGTGTTGGCGCCACTTTCATGCTTCATGTGTTTGGTTGATCTTTTCTTATTGTGGATTTACTGTGTGTGGTGTGCTTCTTTGGTAAAGGTTTTAAAAGTTTTTTTTTAATTTTTAAACTAATTTTTATGTATTTGTAGGTAATTATATTAATTTATATTTAGTTCTAAATTTAGATGTTTTAATCGTATCAGATGTTAAAGTCCATAACACAAGGTGTGTCCATAAACGACACCCTTTTTAAAACTACCGTCACACTACGTAAGGAAAAGCCAAACCCAACCCTCCAAAACTGACCTCGCACCTTTATATCCTACTAACGCCCAGAAACTGTTTTCTTTGTGAAATGTTTACTGAGCTCGAAGATCGATCATTGTTAAAAAATAAATACGGGCATAACTCAACATTTTAAAATCTGAAAATGTGTCCTCTCAGTTTCTAAGCACCCCCCCCCCTCCTCCCCCACTCTTCACTTATTTTCACATAACTTCAAATACCCCACACCCTTTCAGTCCCTTGTCGTTAGTCAATGGCCCCAAGATTGTAAGTACACCACAGATAATGAACTAGTCGTGAAATCTGACCACTTAGTACTTGCCAGTTAGGTCATGTTGAAGTGGAGAGATGGTCCGACCCGCTGATTGGTCAAGTGGTCACGTGATGCTACCATTGTTCTGGTGTGGTCATGTTATCAGAGGTCACGGTGAGGTAGGTCATGGTCAGGTCAAACAGGTCATCTCCCAGGTCACAGCTGCAGCTCTGGTGACTGCTTGACCTTTTGGTCACCACTTAGCTTTGTCTCACCCTAGTCACCAACCTGGGTTCATCTCAAGCTATTGGTCACCACTTTTGTTACCTCAGTAATCACCACCCTCATAATTTCCTTGGTCACCACTTGTGTTACCTCATCTGGGGTCGGGTTTCGAGTTGGAACCCTAGGGTCCCCGGGCAGATGAAGCTCGATAACTGGGGACAGCAACCCATCTAGGAGAGACAATTCCAAAATCAAACAAATGTGGCCTTGAAGTTTGTTCTTGGTTGAACTAAGGCTATGAAAGTTAATTCAGAAAGAAAAGCAGGCTGAATCAAAGTCAAGGGCCCATGTGACGCATAACATTTTGACACATAATACTTGTGTTGGGTGTCCCAACATGGCAAATAAAAACAAAGGAGAAGTTACTTCGGTGGTCACCACACTCAATCTATTGGTCACACCTAACATCACGCCTGTCCCTGGCCGTGATACTGTCACACTGTGATACTGTCACACTGTGATACTGTCACGCTGTGATACTGTCACTGTGATACTGTCACACTGTGATACTGTCACACTGTGATACTGTCACTGTGATACTGTCACACTGTGATACTGTCACACTGTGACACTGTCACGCTGTGACACTGTCACACTGTGTCACACTGTGATACTGTCACACTGTCACATTGTGATACTGTCACACTGTGATACTGTCACGCTGTGACACTGTCACACTGTGATACTGTCACGCTGTGATACTGTCACGCTGTGATACTGTCACACTGTGTCACACTGTGATACTGTCACACTGTCACATTGTGATACTGTCACACTGTGATACTGTCACACTGTGATACTGTGATACTGTCACTGTGATACTGTCACACTGTCACACTGTGATACTGTCACTGTGATACTGTCACACTGTGATACTGTTACACTGTGATACTGTCACACTGTGATACTGTCACACTGTGATACTGTCACACTGTGATACTGTCACATTTTGATACTGTGATACTGTCACACTGTGATACTGTCACACTGTGATACTGTCACACTGTGTCACACTTTGATACTGTCACATTGTGATACTGTCACATTTTGATACTGTCACATTGTCACACTTTGATACTGTCACACTGTCACACTGTGATACTGTCACACTGTCATACTGTCACGCTGTGATACTGTCACACTGTGATACTGTCACACTGTGATACTGTCACTGTGATACTGTCACACTGTGATACTGTTACACTGTGATACTGTCACACTGTGATACTGTCACACTGTGATACTGTCACACTGTGATACTGTCACATTTTGCTACTGCGATACTGTCACACTGTGATACTGTCACACTGTGATACTGTCACACTGTGTCACACTTTGATACTGTCACATTGTGATACTGTCACATTTTGATACTGTCACATTGTCACACTTTGATACTGTCACACTGTCACACTGTGATACTGTCACACTGTCATACTGTCACGCTGTGATACTGTCACACTGTGATACTGTGACACTGTGATACTGTCACTGTGATAATGTCACTGTGATAATGACACTGTGATACTGTCACGCTGTTACACTGTGATATTGTCACACTGTGACATCCCGTATAATAGTTTCTTTCTGTCCGTTACTACTGTCACATTTTCATCTCCACCCCCACCCCCACCCCTCACTGGTTATGTTATCTCGCCGTTGACTAACAAGATGTCTGTTGTAATTGTGGTCTAGGTCACGGCAACTAAGACACAGGCTAGTGCCTGTGTCTTGACTAAGCTACACACCAATATTACATTCAGTCGTTTCTTTACAAGTTTTGTTTTGTGTGTCTTTTTTCTGGTCTAACTTGGTGGTCTTATATTGGTGGTAGTCTAAAGGTGGTAGCGATAGTAGTCTTATGGTGGTAATGGTAAATAGATGGCAGTCTAATAATGTTGGTATAATGTTGATGGTAGGTTGATGATAATAATATAATGTTGATGGTTGTCTAATGCTGGTGGTGATGATGGTGGTATATTGTTGAATGGTAGCCATGACGGTGGTGGTGTTGATATAATGTTGGTGGCATTCTGATGATTATTGTGGTATAATGTTGGTGGTCATTAATACGTTGTGGTGTTATAATATTTGTGGTAGTTTAGTGGTGATGGAGGTATAATGTTGGTGGTATTCTGATGGTTATTGCGGTATAATATTGGTGGTAGTCTAGTGGTGATTGCGGTAGTCTAGTGGTGATTGCGGTATAATGTCTGATGATTGTGATGGTTGTTGTTTGTAATCTAACATTGATGGTCTCCTACGATCCCCCATGTCACGTGTCTCTCTAGCGGTCTTCTGATTGGCTGTCAGTGTTCCCTTAGATAACCTTATGTAGGTGCTAGTTTGACCTCCATCGCTGTTTGTTCAGATTTCATCTGAACTTTATCTCTCATGATTTGCATCCCTATCTCACTATAATCTGGTTCACGCGGCTTTGTTTTACTACGCTTTTAAATCTGCCCAGGATTTGTTATTATAGTGCTTGAACTGTGTAGTAAATTACGCCGCTCGTAAATTTGTTTGACCGTATCGAGGCGTTGCGTCTTTGCGGTGGAGGGATTTTTTGTACCGCTGTATTCATGGTGAGAATTTTAGACTGCTAGTACTGGATACAGACGTACGTATTTTATTTCTGAATATTTGAAATGCATTATATATATATATATATATATATATATATATATATATATATATATATATATATATATATATATATATATCAAGAAAGAAACATAGTAGAAGCGATTAACTTCAATTTAATGGTTAATTATCTAAAGCCCAAACCTAGCATGACCTTAGCCACATAAAAAGTACCGCTGCTTGAGGCATCCTTGACCACGAGATGTTCTGTTATAATATCCCGTGCTAGAATTATTCTACTTTATCCAGTGCTGGAACTATACTACTTTATCCATTGATAGAGTCATGCTTTACCCAGATGTTAGAGTCATGCTTTACCCAGTTGTTAGAGTCATGCTTCACCCAGTGTAAATATGTCACTTATTCCCGTGTTAGAGTCATGCTTTTACCTCGTGCTTTATCTAGTGATAGTCATGCTTTACCCTGTGTCTGTATCAAGTGATAGTTATGCTTTACTCTGTGTTGGAAATACTTGTCACAAGCATCTTTGTATATAGTTGTCATTGCGATTATGTGTCTTAAAGTACCCTTTCAACGCTTCACTGAGCCCAGCATATAAAAGATATTGTGGACATCCCCTATGCCCAACCGCCTCTACTTTCCATATCGTGAGTCAAAGCCCGAGGTGCGAACTCGAGACTTTCGGGTTAGCATTGAGATTATGCTGTCTGTAATAATCTAAATCATTATGATTAAGCTGTCTGTAATAATCATTGAGATTCTGCTGTCTGTGATAATCATTGAGATTATGCTGTCTGTAATAATCATTATGATTAAGCTGTATGTAATAATCATTGAGATTCTGCTGTATGTAATAATCATTGAGATTCTGCTGTCTTTAATAATCATTAAGATTAAGCTGTATGTAATAATCATTATGATTAAGCTGTATGTAATAATCATTGAGATTCTGCTGTCTGTAATAATCATTAAGATTAAGCTGTATGTAATAATCACTATGATTAAGCTGTCTGTAATAATCATTGAGATTATGCCACTCCAGACACTATGAAGACACCAGACACCTTGTAATCGATGTGTCTTGCCTACCTCGTTAGAAGTATTCAACAAATGACATACCGCCTAATTATGTATTAATTAATTAATTGAAAGAAGTCATCATGTCTTATTGAATTTATGCTTTATTTAAAATCCGACCTTATAAACCTTTGAACTTGAGTAACCCGACTTTTGTTTCAACTCAGTGTGTTGGTTTATATTGCTAATTACCTTGCTAATTAAGTATCATGAAGTTAATGACATGTGGTTTCAAAGTTCTTAAAGTTTGTATGACCTAGATTTATTTGTTGTACCGTTGGTCTGACAGTTTTTGGTGATGGTTTTTAAAAATCCCCACTTTTATAGTCCAGTCTGTCGCGTTTGTGTGTAGAGATTAAGATTTTTGTACTACGATTACAGTCTAAAGTGGAGGTACTTGAAGCGTGTGAGGTATAATTTAACTTACACATTTTTTTTACAGCTCGCGTGTTTAACATCGGTAATTCCCAATGTCCCATACACATATTTTGGACTTGTTGTGTAGTACATGTGTATGTGTGTTTGTAATATATACATATATTAACATGTTTAATTAGTATATCGTAGAATTAATCTCTATCCCGATACTCATAGCAATACCTCGTTGTCGATATTGGTACTGATCGCGACTTTTGTAAAGTTAGATTTATTTTTCTTAAGAATTGTCGCCCTTATATCAACGTTGCCGTGTCATGAAGCTGGGGGTTTGGGTAGTTTGTGTGTAGTTTGTGTGTAGTTAGTGTGTAGTTAGTGTGTAGTTTATGTGTAGTTAGTGTGTAGTTTGTGTGTAATTTGTGTGTAGTTTGTGTGTAGTTTGTGTGTAGTTTGTGTGTAGTTGTGGGTGTTCCAGTTGAGTGTGTGTTGTTTCCCTTATTGGGTCCCCGTTCGTTCTTCAAACTTCTGATACTCAGTACGTGACATGTTGGTTTTCTTATAGTTTATATGGCAACATACCCTGTTGTCAGGGTTTCTGTCGGGCATCTCTTGGGTGGTGGGGGGAGGCGCACGTCTACCGCCGTACCCCACATGCCCCCCCCCCAACGAAACATAATTTTAAAGAAAATATATACTTTTTTAGTCCGCCGCCCCCCTCCTCCCAGAAAGTTCAAAGTCTACCATCCCCCTTCAATCTGCTCCCCGGTGAAATAGACTGAAAGAAACGCTGACCGTGGTTATAAACTACTGACACGCTTGCTATTACTGTGGACAGCTGACAGTATCTACCTACAGCTGACAATATCTACCTACAGCTGACAGTATCTACCTACAGCTGACAGTATCTACCTACAACTGACAGTATCTACCTACAGCTGACAGTATCTACTACCTACAGCTGACAGTATCTACCTACAGCTGACAATATCTACCTACAGCTGACAGTATCTACCTACAGCTGACAATATCTACCTACAGCTGACAGTATCTACCTACAGCTGACAGTATCTACTACCTACAGCTGACAGTATCTACCTACAGCTGACAGTATCTACCTACAGCTGACAGTATCTACCTACAGCTGACAGTATCTACCTACAGCTGACAGTATCTACCTACAGCTGACAGTATCTACCTACAGCTGACAGTATCTATCTACAGCTGACAGTATCTACCTACAGCTGACAGTATCTACATACAGCTGACAGTATCTACCTACAGCTGACAGTATCTACCTACAGCTGACAGTATCTACCTACAGCTTACAGCATCTACAGCTGACAGTATCTACCTACAGCTGACAGTATCTACCTACAGCTGACAGTATCTACCTACAGCTGACAGTATCTACCTACAGCTGACCTACCTACAGCTGACAGTATCTACCTACAGCTGACAGTATCTACCTACAGCTGACAGTATCTACCTACAGCTGACAGTATCTATCTACAGCTGACAGTATCTACCTACAGCTGACAGTATCTACCTACAGCTGACAGTATCTACCTACAGCTGACAGTATCTACCTACAGCTGACAGTATCTACCTACAGCTTACAGCATCTACAGCTGACAGTATCTACCTACAGCTGACAGTATCTACCTACAGCTGACAGTATCTACCTACAGCTGACAGTATCTACCTACAGCTGACCTACCTACAGCTGACAGTATTTACCTACAGCTGACAGTATCTACCTACAGCTGACAGTATCTACCTACAGCTGACAGTATCTACCTACAGCTGACAGTATCTACCTACAGCTGACAGTATCTACCTACAGCTGACAGTATCTACCTACAACTGACAGTATCTACCTACAGCTGACTTCCCCCTATCTCCTGTGATAACATGACCAAGTGCTACAGTGTGAACAAGATCAGCTGTTCGGCTGAGATAACTCAAATCAGTGGACGTGATGCAGCGACCTCTCGCTAAAGTACCCGTATGTTGTTTACGTCTCATTCACTTTTCGCCGCTGATATCGGAGTTATTTGTAACTAGCTAGGTTAAGGGTAGGTTACATTATTTTGATTAATTTCCTTTTAATTTGTGGGGAATGCTACTCTTGCTCCGTGATTTGTCAGGCATTTCTTCCAGGAGGGGGCGCAATAGAAGAAGAAGAAATAGGAAATATATATACCTTATAATACCCCCCTACAAAGTGCCTCCCTCCCAACACCTCTTCTGGACGAAATAGGAAAAGCGCCCCCCCCCCTTCGTGAATTTTTAGTCCTCCCCCACCCCACCCCCCTCCCCCTCCCCTTTCGCAAAAAAATGTTTGACAGAAACCCAGGGCTTAAATTAAACCAACGGCAGAGTTTTAACGTTTAATATTGTAAATTAGTAATGATGTAAAATAAAAATTGTGTTCATTAATCTACAAAAATTTTTATTTTAAAATGCAGTAAACTGGATTGTGATGTGTGGGTATTTGAAGGTTTTATATTCATAAGGAACATACACTTCCAACAAACAAACAACACATAAAAAAACAAGGATTAAAGAACAACCCAGGATTGATGTTGTTCATTGAGTGGATTGCTCTGGAATATTTTTCTGTGACGTATGCAGGTCTAATTTTAACACAAACATTTTATTTGTAATACATTCGTCATGTCAAGTTTTAGCTCTTTGTAAAAACATCGTTAAAAACTTGACATTTACAAGTTGAGTTGTTCAGATTATGAAAACATCGTTAAAAACTTGACATATTTAAGTAGAGTTGTTCAGATTATGAAAAAAATCGTTAAAAACTTGACATTTTTAAGTAGAGTTGTTCAGATTATGAAAACTTCATGTGAGTTAAGTGGGGGGGGGGGGGGGGGGCAGTACTTAGGACGATTAGGTAGTTAATCGACCAAGGACTGTCTGAGTGACGTTCAAATGGATGGGTGCGTGGGGTGGAGGGGGTGGGGGCGTTAGATGCGGCAGTCTGCACGCACGAAACTGTCGTTGATAAATCTGATTGTCTTGTTACAGTCTAACCAAGTTGCTTTGGTCGTTAGTGGGATTTTGTTTGGGTTTCTGTTGTCGTTACACTGGGACGTCTTACTCAATGACGTCTTAATGAGGAACGTCCTACTCAGAGACGTCATAATGAGGCACGTCTAAATCTGGGAAGTCTAACTCTAGGACGTCTAAATGAGGGACGTCTAACTCTGGGACGTCTAACTCTAGAACGGCTCAATGAAGGACGTCTTAAGGAGGGACGTCTTAATGAGGGACGTCTAACTCTGGGACGTCTAACTCTGGGACGTCTTAATGAGGGACGTCTTAATGAGGGACGTCTTAATAAGGGAGTCTAACTCTGGGACGTCTTAATGAGGGACGTCTTAATAAGGGACGTCTAACTCTGGGACGCCTAACTCTGGGACGTCTAACTCTGGGACGTCTAGTTCAGGGACGTCCTACTCAGGGACGTCTTAATGAGGGATGTCTTACTCAGGGACGTCATACTAAGGGACGTCTTGCACACGGACGTCTTAAACCGAAAAGTCTCGAGTTCGAACCCTCGGGCAGATGAGGCTCGTTAGCTGGGGACAGCCTTCTAAGAGAGACAACTCCAAAATCAAACAACTCCTGCCTTGTAGTTTGTTCTTGGCTGGACAAAGGCTATGGTTGCAAATCCAAAAAGAAAAGCAGGCTGAAATCGGAGTCAATGGCCTCAATCGTGCATAACTAGTTGACACGTAACGCTTAATTGTGTTGGAGGGGATCCCTTCCAGCACTAAAATTAAGAACGAAGAAGAAGAAAGAAGAAGAGACGTCTTACTCGTGGACGTCTTACTCGTGGACGTCTTACTCGTGGACGTCTTACTCGTGGACGTCTTACTCGTGGACGTCTTACTCAGGGACGTCTTCGTCTAATTAAGGGACGTCTTATTGCGGTCGTCTTGTTAACATCGTTTTATTTGTGGTTGTTTCCACCGATCCCCCCCCCACCCCCACCCCCCCCTTTGTGGCTGTCCCCATCTGGCGACTGTTTCCGCTCCCCCCCCACCCGAAGTTGCCCCCCCCCCCTCCCCTTTACTGAGCGCACCCCTCCACAGTGGTACCCCACACAACAGCTGTCTAGTTTGTCTGGGCCCCCATCAAGTAGTTGCAGATACGTCACGCGTTCCTCAAAATGTTTCTCTGAAATCTTGTACAGGTTGTGAGACCCGGTATTATCAGCGTTATCTGTCGCAAGGTTACGCTTAGGCTATCATATCTATCGGGCTGGTTGCTGGCTTAAAGCTGTCCATTCTGGTTTTTAAAGATGGTGGACGGTTTTTAAAAATGTGCTGATTGTGCTAATCAAATAACACTTGATCTGTTTCGCGAACTCCGGTCTTTGGTTGGAGTTCTTATGTCCTTTACTTTAGGGCTTGATTCAAATTGTGTGGTCTTAACATCCTATTGCAGTGGCAGGATTGGGGTTCTTTACTTATATTTATAAAACCAGTCAATTCAACTGAGCTGTTGTTTTTATTTATAAATCCAGTCAATTCAACTAAGCCTGTTGTATTTTATTTATAAAACCAGTCAATTCAACTGAGCCTGTTTTTATTTATAAATCCAGTCAATTCAACTAAGCCTGTTGTATTTTATTTATAAAACCAGTCAATTCAACTGAGCCTGTTGTTTTATTTATAAATCCAGTCAATTCGACTGAGCCTGTTTTTATTTATAAATCCAGTCAATTCAACTGAGCCTGTTTATATTTATAAAACCAGTCAATTCAACTGAGCTGTTGTTTTTATTTATAAAACCAGTCAATTCAACTGAGCCTGTTTTTATTTATAAATCCAGTCAATTCAACTGAGCCTGTTGTTTTTATTTATAAAACCAGTCAATTCAACTGAGCCTGTTGTTTTATTTATAAATCCAGTCAATTCGACTGAGCCTGTTTTTATTTATAAATCCAGTCAATTCAACTGAGCCTGTTTATATTTATAAAACCAGTCAATTCAACTGAGCTGTTGTTTTTATTTATAAAACCAGTCAATTCAACTGAGCCTGTTTTTATTTATAAATCCAGTCAATTCATCTGAGCCTGTTGTTTTTATTTATAAAACCAGTCAATTCAACTCAGCCTGTTTTTATTTATAAAACCAGTCAATTCAACGTAGCCTGTTGTTTATATTTATAAAACCAGTCAATTCAACTGAGCTGTTGTTTTTATTTATAAAACCAGTCTATTCAACTGAGCCTGTTTATATTTATAAAACCAGTCAATTCAACTGAGCCTGTTGTTTATATTTATAAAACCAGACAACTCAACTGAGCTGTTGTTGTTTTTATTTATAAAACCAGACAACTCAACTTAGCCTGTTGTTTTTATTTATAAAACCAGTCCATTCAACTGAGCCTGTTGTTTATATTTATAAAACCAGACAACTCAACTTAGCCTGTTGTTGTTTTTATTTTAGCGTGACGTCACTTGGATGACCGTGGCCACCATGACAGTGGAACCGAAAAATTCTTCCTGAAATTCAAAGACTTCTGGGTAGGTTTTGTGTGGGAGCAGTTGTGTGGGACAGCAGTTGTATGTGGGGGTGTGTGGCCTGGCAGACGTGAGGGTATTTTGTTGTGTGGGTAGCAGTTGTGGGGTAGAAGTTGTGTGGGTAGCAGTTGTGGGGTAGAAGTTGTGTGGGTAGCAGTTGTGTGGGTAGCAGTTGTGGGGTAGAAGTTGTGTGGGTAGCAGTTGTGTGGGTAGCAGTTGTGTGGGTAGCAGTTGTATGGAGCAGTTGTGTGGGTAGCAGTTGTGTGGGTAGCAGTTGTGTGGGTAGCAGTTGTGTGGGTATTCGTTGTGTGGGTAGCTGTTGTGTGGGTAGCAGTTGTGTGGGTAGCAGTTGTGTGGGTAGCAGTTGTGTGGGTAGCAGTTGTGTGGGTAGCAGTTGTGTGGGTAGCAGTTGTATGGAGCAGTTGTGTGGGTAGCAGTTGTGTGGGTAGCAGTTGTGTGGGTAGCAGTTGTGTGGGTAGCAGTTGTGGGGTATTGTGTGGGTAGCAGTTGTGGGGTATTGTGTGGGTAGCAGTTGTGTGGGTATTCGTTGTGTGGGTAGCAGTTGTGTGGGTATTCGTTGTGTGGGTAGCAGTTGTGTGGGTATTCGTTGTGTGGGTAGCAGTTGTGTGGGTAGCAGTTGTGTGGGTAGCAGTTGTGTGGGTAGCAGTTGTGTGGGTAGCAGTTGTGTGGGTATTCGTTGTGTGGAGCAGTTGTGTGGGTAGCAGTTGTGTGGGTAGCAGTTGTGTGGGTATTCGTTATGTGGGTAGCAGTTGTGGAGTAGAAGTTGTGTGGGTAGCAGTTGTGGAGTAGCAGTTGTGTGGGTAGCAGTTGTGTGGGTAGCAGTTGTGTGGGTAGCAGTTGTATGGAGCAGTTGTGTGGGTAGCAGTTGTGTGGGTAGCAGTTGTGTGGGTAGCAGTTGTGTGGGTAGCAGTTGTGTGGGTAGCAGTTGTGTGGGTATTCGTTATGTGGGTAGCAGTTGTGGAGTAGAAGTTGTGTGGGTAGCAGTTGTGGAGTAGCAGTTGTGTGGGTAGCAGTTGTGTGGGTAGCAGTTGTGTTGGTAGCAGTTGTATGGAGCAGTTGTGTGGGTAGCAGTTGTGTGGGTATTCGTTGTGTGGGTAGCAGTTGTGTGGGTATTCGTTGTGTGGGTATTCGTTGTGTGGGTAGCAGTTGTGTGGGTAGCAGTTGTGTGGGTAGCAGTTGTGTGGGTAGCAGTTGTGTGGGTAGCAGTTGTGTGGGTAGCAGTTGTGTGGGTAGCAGTTGTGTGGGTAGCAGTTGTGTGGGTATTCGTTGTGTGGAGCAGCTGTGTGGGTAGCAGTTGTGTGGGTAGCAGTTGTGGAGTAGAAGTTGTGTGGGTAGCAGTTGTGGAGTAGCAGTTGTGTGGGTAGCAGTTGTGTGGGTATTCGTTATGTGGGTAGCAGTTGTGGAGTAGAAGTTGTGTGGGTAGCAGTTGTGGAGTAGCAGTTGTGTGGGTAGCAGTTGTGTGGGTAGCAGTTGTGTGGGTAGCAGTTGTATGGAGCAGTTGTGTGGGTAGCAGTTGTGTGGGTAGCAGTTGTGTGGGTAGCAGTTGTGGGGTATTGTGTGGGTAGCAGTTGTGGGGTATTGTGTGGGTAGCAGTTGTGTGGGTATTCGTTGTGTGGGTAGCAGTTGTGTGGGTAGCAGTTGTGTGGGTAGCAGTTGTGTGGGTATTCGTTGTGTGGGTAGCAGTTGTGTGGGTAGCAGTTGTGTGGGTAGCAGTTGTGTGGGTAGCAGTTGTGTGGGTATTCGTTGTGTGGAGCAGTTGTGTGGGTAGCAGTTGTGTGGGTAGCAGTTGTGTGGGTATTCGTTGTGTGGGTAGCAGTTGTGGAGTAGAAGTTGTGTGGGTAGCAGTTGTGGAGTAGCAGTTGTGTGGGTAGCAGTTGTGTGGGTAGCAGCTGTGTGGGTAGCAGTTGTGTGGGTAGTAGTTGTGTGGGTAGCAGTTGTGTGGGGAGCAGTTGTGTGGGGAGCAGTTGTGTGGGGAGCAGTTGTGTGGG